AACATTCTGGGTTTTGATGGATTAGATAATTCGTTTTTCAATAACGCCAATGTTGTGTCAGAGATTGATCGCGACACTGTTTCAACAATAAATGGTAACAAATTGGTAAATTTTTCCACATCAGTTTGTTCAATTGTCATTTTTTCTTCTGCATATTTAAGAAATTGCTCGATCATTTTGTCTGTATGTGATGTTAAACGTCCAAAAAAGTATTTCACTTGTAATTCAATTAGTTCTTGAATATGACTATATCCAACTGATCCATCAGTATCATGAGTAAAGTAATAGTCTGCATCTTCTGATAAATCATGATAACATCTCCCATGTGATGGAGCATCACCAACATGTATCAAAATGCGCACTGGATGCTTCCAGTTAAGATTTATCACTTTCTGTAAACCACCAAGAACATCTTCACAGTAATCACCGCCCCATTCACATTTAACCATTGAAACATATGAATGAAAAGTACCCTTATCAGTAAAGTTCAAAATGCTAAATTGTCTTTCTTGAGGTAAATTTAGATCTCGATATCCAACAAATGCCAAACGTATGTTTAAATGTGGAAAACGAGTTTTTAAAACTTCAACTGTTTCAAATATATGATTTTTCACATCGTCAATATACTTTCGCATACTGTTTGTACAATCCATTAGGAAACATAAATCCACTGATTCAGCTTCTTTCAATACTTTGATAACTCCATTAATTTCTTCTGTACGCTTCATAACGTTTCTCAAATGTTCTTCAGCCTGTAATCCTTTTTGCGATGTTGCAGCTAATCGATCAACACTATCCATTTGTAATTGATCACATTGTGTTTGTATTTGTTTAAGACGAATATTTCCNATTTCATTAAGATTCTTCTTTTCAATTCGTTCGATTGCATCTAATTGTCGACGAAGTGCCGCAATGTTCGATAAAGTTCTTCGGCCAGTTGAACGACTTCTTTCCATTTGTAATTTCTTTTTTCAAAGAAGAGGAAAAATAAACAAATGTTTTTATCAAAAATAATTATCACGACAAAATATGATCGAAATTTGAAAAAATTAATTAAAGAGACGAGACACGCTTGAAAAATCATTCATGCGTTTTTTGATTTTTTCGTCTTTTCATGATAAAAATAGGGAGATAATAGGAACATACTTGTGTTTTATTGAAAAAATCGATCTATAATGATAAAATCAACAGACAAATCACGACAATGATGTTAATTTAGATAAAAAAAAGAATATTTGAGATTTATTTGAAATGGAAAAAAAAGAAAGAATTAATATATGAAAGATAAATCTAATCAACTAAAAGTTAGTTTTTCCGTTAGAAAAAAAAGATTTCAAAGTCTTTGGTTTAAATGAATATTGATTTAAGAATGTTTACTTGAAATCGATTTGTTGATTATAAAAGATTTTTTTTCAATAAAATATGAATCATATTTTGATGAAGTTTTTGTTACACTTTGATTTTCAATCATTTTCAATTTCAATGTTTGACAAATCGAATTACAAATATGAGTTTCAAAAAATCTTTTTATTCCAGGTTTTCCCAAATTTGTTCTTCCAAATCTTGTTAAATCTGTTGAATGAATACAAGGATCTGTCAGTAAATATGTTTGATTATCTCCAATATCAATTCCTTGTAAATCAACAACAATCATATTTCCATTTGTTCGTTCATAAGTCCAATGTGAAAATGCTTGAAGAGTTACAGCTGGATCTTCATGATTGACATAACCAGCATTATTTGAAAATTTCTTATAAGATCCATCGATAAAACGTTCAATGGTAAAAAAGTGAACATTTCCTTCACTTTCTGGATCGAAAACTAATTTAGTCATGATAAATTTGATTTTTTTCATTGTTGATGTTGATTCATTGGTTGAAAGAGATAATTTGTTAAATTCTTGAGCGAGATGATCAGCAATTGTTTGACAATCTAATAATTCTAAATATTTCTCTTTCATATCAATATCATTATGAATTTTTTTATATTTTTTCAAAACAACTTTTTCCCATTTATCTTTATTTTGCATTAATCCATAAAATGCTAATCTCATCGCTCCTTCTGCAAAAGGTTTTTCTGCAATTTTGATATTTGTTGATTGATTAATTTGTTCACAAACTAATTGATCATTACATTGATATTTAATTACTTGAACTTTTTTCATTGGAATATTTAACCAATCGGGTTCAATCGAATCAAAACTAATTCGAGAAATTCGACTTATTTTCGTATTTTGATGATTATTTTCTACAATTGAATGACTTTTCAATAATGATGAAGTCGTTTTCGAAATTGATCGAGAAATACTTTCAACAATAAAAGGTAATAAATTTTGAAAATTCTTTAAATTAATTTCTTCAATAGAAATTCGTTTTTGTCCAAATTGAATAAATTGTTCCATCATTTTATCTGTATGTGATGTTAATCGTCCAAAGAAATATTTTAAATCTAATTGAACAAATTTATCAAACAATTCTTGTCCAATGGTTCCATCATTATCTGATGATAAATAATGATCTTTATGTTCTGGTAAATCATGATAACGTCTTCCATGTGAAGGACAATCAGCAACATGAATTAAAATTCGTACTGGTTGATTCCATTGAAGATGAATTATTTTTTGTAAACCACCGAGAACATCTTCACAAGCATCACCACCATATTCACATTTAACCATTGAAACAAATGAATGAAATTTGTCTTCATCAGTAAAATCTAAAATACTAAATTGTCTTTCTTCAGGTAAATTTAAATCTCGATAACCAACAAATGCTAAACGAATATTTAAATGTGAAAAACGAGATTTTAACAATCGAATTGTTTCAAAGATTCGATCTTTAACTTCAATAATAAATTTCTGCATACTATTTGTACAATCCATAAGAAAACAAACATCAACTGATTCACTTTCTTGTAAAGCTTTCATCATTTGATTAATTTCCTTTGTACGTTTTAAAACAAATTGTAATTGTTCTTGAGCATTGATTTGTTTTTGAGAAATCGAAGATAATCTTTCAATCGATTCTTTTTGTAAAACATCACATTGTTTTTTAATTTCATCTAATCGAGAACTTTCATGAGTATTTTGTTTTTCAATTCGTTCAATCGCATCTAATTGACGACGAAGTGTTGCAATATCAGATAATGTACTCGCTGAATGACGAGAAGAAACCGAAAATTTCTTATCCATAAAAAGAATATTCTGTGAGTTGTGATTACCCAACCATATTTATAATCAATCGGTCGGTACGGTGAGAAAGAAAAAAAAACAACACGACAAAATATATATTTATTCATGTCACAATCAATCATTGATATACTCACACATATGGTTTTTTTTATTTTTCATCTTCCCATAGATATAATAACGTATGATCATATGATTTTCTTTTCTTTCTACCTCAAAATATTTGTCTAATTTGGTCTGAATGATAATTTTTGTTTTGAAATCAATATGAATAATTGTCGAAGAAAACAAAAAATAAAGATATCGAGGGTGTAGTCATGTCAAACTCAAAAATAATCAATCATCCATTTAGGTTTTCTGTCTCACCCACATTCTGTTTGATTTTCCATTTTCAAATGGGTTTGATTCAAGAAAACAAGTTACGCATACACAGATTCATTAAACTTCTTCATTGCGTTTCAGAATTATCTTTTTCTCAAGATTTGTTTCTTCATTTGAGTATGATATGAACTTACAAAAACACACTTCTCAAATCTGTATCAGATTTATTTTTTTGGATTAAAAAATCAACTTTCAAAGCAATGGAGTTAGACAGAAGCAAAAGTAGCAAAGAACAAGAAAACACTGATTTCAGAAAGAAAAGAATTTTACTGTTCGAAAGTTGAGTTTTAGTGTGTCTAATGAGTAAAATAATTAATGGGCTGCATCATTATTTTTACCGAAGGGAAAAGTCTTCAGTTCATGCTAATAAGATTATTAATTGATGGGCTAGTATCCAGATCTATGTATAAAAGAGTTTGATAATAATTTGCATTATCAGCCGATATATATCAAATAAACAGAAAGCCTAACAATTCGATACTTACTTTGTTCATTTAGAATTTCTGCTGGTGTTTGACCAATAGTATTTGGTCGATAATCTGAAAACATTGATTATTTATCTCAATGATGGTGTATAGAAAAGACTTGATATACCTCCAATAAAGTTTAAAGGCGACAATTTGATACTTCCAGCATGTGACGAACCAGGGAAATCGATGTTGTCTGTAACATTAATCAATTCCATTTGTATAGAGAAATTATCTACTCCTAACGTATTCAATTCAGAACGAGCATAATCAGTAACTAATAAAATACCTTTACGATTCGTGCCACTCAAATTTTTATTATCAGAAGATATCTGAGATTGTTCATCATTTACTTCTGCGCAGCTTGATCGACAAACAGTGAAGTTAATACTAAAACAAGAAATATGTTAACTTATGCATGATATTCAGAATCGATTCATCATTGGCACACCATTTGTAGTGCATTATCACAAATAACAACTCTGTATTATGAAAAACACTTCGAATCTTATAAATAGAAATCTTGTTTGACTACGACTCTAATGACATAGACAACGCAGTTTTCATATGTTGAATAGTTAACTAGTATAAATTGATTCTATATTTTCACTTCTNCATTAATTCCTACCCTGAACGAGCGAATAATTCACTCACATCAGTGCCTTGTTTGTTTCTTGCCGATTTCAATTGATTTCATACAGTTATGACGGTTTAGCACAATACCTTTCGAGCATCAACGTGCGTGCAGATAACATATTAATTGAACTTGTATTTATTAGAAAAAAATCATTTTATTTCATAGAGCATGTCTACAAACAATTAAAAAAAGAAGACGATCTTGTTTCATTTCATTGATGATAAAAAAAGAATGATACAAAATTGTGTATTTTTCTTCTATAGTGACACAACACGTGCGTATTAGTTTTGTACGTAACTGAAGATAAGAAGAAATTCTTTTCGAGAATATGTCTTTGTATCGCGTCTCACCTATTCCCCTTGATCATGTTGAAGTTTTCCGTCAGCAATCCGATCCACCTACAATTCCATCAAATCCGAGCTACGGTATCGATGCTCCTTTGGGATTAATTGCATCATCATTCGCTGCTCCACTTTATCTTTACGCGACATTAAGCGGTAAATTTCAAGTATGGGAAGCACTTCTTCGTGATTTAGTCAAAGAAATCGATCTTCACGAACCGTGTTTAGATTGTGGATGTGGAAGAGGAATGGTTCTTTTAATATTAGCTCGTTTGAAAAAGGAAATCAGAACAAAAACTAATCAACCAATGTAAGTTTTCTTTCTAATTGATAAATAAAAACAAATTAATGAAAAATAGATCACCAGTGTATGGGATCGATATTTTCAATAGTTTTGATCAAACATCGAATTCACCGTTATCAACATGTCGAAATGTCGCGTCTGCAAATTTGTTAGATTATGTTATATTAAACATCGGGAGTTTCCTTGATTTACCATTCAAAGATAATTCCTTTACATTAGTTACTTCATCATTGGCAATTCATAATGTTTCGAATACCAATGAAAAACAACGAGCAATTAGAGAATGTGCACGAGTAACAAAACCTGCTGGTTGGTTATTAATTGTGGATTTGAAAGGAAATGTTTCTCTTTATGAAAATACATTAAAAGAATTGCAATGGAATTCAATAGAACGAACATGGGCAGGAATGAAAATGATGTTTGGAGTTTGGCCATGTGAAGTATTGAAAGCACAGAAACCATTTTCGTAAATTCACAAGAAATGTTCGTATTTTATCAAATAAAAGAATTTATTGAACTAAACCATTTCCATGGCAGTTTTTTTTCCCTAACAGATATTCTGATTAGCTTGAAGGTTTTACTTAAAAAGAAAGAGAAATCACAATATCTCGCGATTGAGTTAATAAATAATAATAAAGAAGAAAAATTTACAGAAAAAAAAGAAGGAATATTCGCTTTAGAAATAAAAAAACACCGGTCTTTGAAAAGAAAAGATGAGCACCAAGAGAGAATTATGATGAGTGAAGATGATTGTTCATCGATGACTTGTTATTTCGATCCACTACTCAATTTCGATAATTCATTAAGAGCATCGGTTACCTAAAATAAAAGATTTCTATCGAATTTTTCTTTCAAATATCGAACAAACATTTTTCAATGCATTGTGAGTTGATAATAAAACTGAATGAAGTCCATTTAACTTCGTTTGATAATATTCTTCTTGTCTTTTTAATAAAATCGACCATTCATTATCTTGTTTTGGATATCTAAACAAATACGATGAAAATCTTTTTTCATATTTTGTCTTTTCTTCTTACGAGAAATCGTTTGACCATAATGGATAGTTTTGTACAAGACGATCAGTCATTCGATCAATTTCATTTAATTTAACGCATAGAAAGATATTCACAGTAAGTAAAATTAACATTCTAAATGAAAAGAGAGAAGATAAAAAGAAAATTATTTTGATAAACATACATAATTATACAAAATGGAAATAAGAAATTCTTTGTTGACCATGTTGATGAAGTCAAATCAGTTGATTGAGATAAATTTGAATCATTCGGATGTTGATCTTCTTGACGAATAACATTTCGATATCGAACAGATGTAGAATTATCAATTGAAGAATCATTTTCATGAATTTGTTGTTTTCTCGAATGTTTTTTCTTTGGTAATGAGTTACTCTTCTCTTTCTCATAATGATTCGTTCGACTTGATGATCTTTGTCGACCAGATGTTTCATGTTCAATTCGTTTCACTAAATTCAATGAGAGAAAAAAAGAAACACTTTTTGTTTTCTGAGAAAATGCTTAACAAAAAGCAAGAAAAAGTACCTGTTGATGTTGATAATTCGATTCGATTGTCTTTGAAAAACAAAAGAAAAGCAAAATGAGCGAAACACTTGAGCTTAGGCACAATTCAATCGAATTCAACTTACTCAAATCTGTAAATGAATCTTGAAGAGCAGCCATGGCATTCTTTTCGACAAAAGCTGAATAAAAAGATAAAACTTGTTTTTTAATCAACCTCGAACACGATCGCATGGTGTTTTCTGTTCTTCTATCTGCGAACATCACCCCATCGTTTAAAGAAAGAAGGAAAAAAAAAGTTTTCCTATCAAAAATCTGACAGAATGGCGTGATTAGAAAATATTTTCATATTCACCAATCAAATATTTTCCTCGAGAAAAGGGATTTTCACTTACATTTGATGATCACCATAACACTTTTTACATATCGAACTTCACACGTGACTTTTAAATGTGATTTGTTTGGACCTGTCTGAACGAGACAATAACGAGATGCAATGAAGAATGCGTCCGCATATTTAATTCCTTCATTTCGAACTTCCGTATCGATTATATAATGAGATTTAGATGATTCACAATCGATAATCTAAAATTGAATGTGAAAAGTCAAAAAAAAAGATGAGAAAAATTTCAAATTGACTTGTTTTTCATTGGAACAGATCGTTGTTGCACCGAATACAGCAGCAACACCGACCTTGTAAGTACAAAGACGTTCTCTTTTTCCTGTTTCAGGATTAACGATCCATTCTCCCGCTTGAAAATCTATCGAAACAAAGATAAAGAAACGATCAAAAAAGAAAACAAGAGACAAAACTAAACCTTTTATTCGACGTGAAGCGTGATAAGCAGCGAGAAAATCTCGATCATCAAATATATATTCAAATAAACGTTGAACTGATGTTGAATATGTTCGATCGATTAATTTTGTTGCTAAATGGGATTGACATGGACATGTATTTAAATATGTTTGTTCTAATTTATAAAGAAAAAATTCATAAAATTAGTTTTATTAATGAAAATAAACAAACCAGAATGATCTGTCATTGTTAATAAAGGATTTTCTTGTTTATTAAGAGTAGTTGGAGGTTGACGAATTAATGTATTTGTATTGGCTTCTTCTCCAATTGGAATTATTCCAAGATCATCATCAACATCAATATCATCATCTGTTGGTCTTTCACTTCTCGATGAAATACTTGAATGATCGTCTATTTCTCCTTTTTTACTATTTGTTGAACTTATTGAATTTGATATATCACGCTTTAACAACAAAATAAACTTCTTATCTATTAACAAAGATAAAAATTCATCTTCAACGAACCTCTTGTTGTCTCAGTGAAGTTTTATCAGGTGTTGAGTTTGTTGATGTTGTTTTATTATATGAATCTTCTTCATCTGTAATCATATCTAAATCATTTCCATAACTTTCACGAATCATATTCCACATTTGTTGAGTTGAGATTGGCTAAAAACAACAAATTATTTGTTTTAATTAAATATTTTTTCAATGACAAACTTGTTCAGCAAATATTGTTTGCCAAATTCGAAATATAATTGCATAACTTTTATCACGTGTCGCAAAACTTGCAAAGAAATATTTTTCACTTTTATTCGTTCGAACTTCAATGGCATTTGGAATGACTTTTGCTGTTTTTTCACGTGTTATTCCGATAATATCTTGAAATTTTAAACATAAACTCGTTTCCCATTTGAGAAAATTTGCATGGAAACATAAATGATTTTGTGATATGTACATTCGACCTTGTATGAGAATTTCTTTTTGCCATGCACATGAATAATCTGTAAATCGCATTTTAAGTATTCATTTCTCGTGTGAAAATTCACTTACCAACAATTAATCGCTCGTCCGATGGTAAATCTTTGAATAATTTTCGAAAATCTTCATTTCTTTGTCGATATGTCGATTGAAATGGCTAAAAGAAAACATTCGATGAATTATCATGAAGAAACAAAAGTCAATTTTGCTGATTATTGAATTATCTAAACTATCTACCCAAAATTTCAATAATGAAGTAGCAGTTAGAAAAGCTGTTGATTTTTCTGAACGTGTTGATGTTAATGAATGACGTTGAGGTTGATTATGAAAAGATTTTGTTAAAGGGTAAGTAACAGATTTCAACGGTTCATTTACAAAATTCTTTCTTCGAATTCGAACTTTTCTTGTTTGAGATTTTGTTCTTCGAATTGGTAAAATGATTTCTTGAGGATTGTCTTTGCCAGTCCATGAATGTCTTCGATATTGATTTTTCAAAGTAAATATTTGAACATTTGAAATGGATTTTGATGCATTTGCAACAATATTTGTTTGTTGATTTGATATTGGAAAAGATGAGTGTGAATAGGTTTCTAATTGAATCGAATTTGATGATGGATGAGTGGAAAAATAGCTTTTCAGATTATCGAATGAGAAGGTTTGTTTGATGAAATGTTCATCAATCGGATGCGAATTTCGAAAACTATTCGAACGAAAAAGTGATTTCAATGTCTCCATTCAAAAAGATTTCGTTCGAAAATGAAAAGAATCTTTCTTATTTCGAGAAAAATATTTTTCAAATATGAAGATATGCAGAAATGGAGGAGGGAAAGAATATCAATGTCGATTTCATTGCCATTTATCGTTGTTGACTCATTCAACCGTAAATACGAACTTTTCTCTTATTTATATTGAAAATTTCACTTACATTATACCAAGGTTTCTTCTTCTTTGTAATCGATGATGTCGAAGGTCTCTCTTGATTTAATATTTGTTTATTATCAGTTAAAATTGGTGAAGTTTTCTTGTTTGAACTTTTCTTTTTCTTTTCAAACGAAGCATTTGCACTCAATGCTGATTCGTTACTTGTCGTGCTTGTCGATGACGATTCAAGCATGGCTTTTGTTGATGTATTTGGATAAGAAGTTAAAGACGAAAGTTCGGTAAGATTACCAAGAATAACTGGTTCACTTTTATTCCGTCGATGATTTATTTGACGTTGTTTAGTTTGAAGATATGTTAACGAAGATAAATTCACTTGATCAGCTGATTCACGTAATAAATAACTCTTTTGTTCCAATGATAAATCATCGATTGGAGATGAACAGGAGTCAATCGAGATACTCATGCTCGACATTTCACCACTAGGAACATTTCCAACAGCTAAACAAAAATGACTTTTTCAGAGAAAATCAAATTTTCAGTAGGTATTGAATTCAACTTGAATAGTTTATGAAGATATTTTCGTCACTTACTTGAAGTTTTGTTATTGAAAGAATCGATTGTACCAGAAAGATTTGACGATAAACCATTCTGATGTTGTTGATTACTTACTGGAAATGTGATGGATGACGAGACAACTGGTTTTGGATTGATTTCATCCATTGATGAACGTTCAGGAGATGAACTATTCAAAGAAAAACTAATGATTTTTCTTGATTATTTCTTTTTCTTACTTGAGAGTCCTTCCATCTAATGGAATAACAGGAGGAATTCGAGACATTTGTAATGTCAATCTAGAAAAGATATCAATAGTGTTTAATCAGAGTTTGATTGATTGATTGATTAACAATCAAAAGAACAGAACAGCAAATTTTTCTTTTTCGGTAAGGAAATTTATCATCATGAAATAAATCAAGAAAATTTCTTCAAATTTTTAAATAATTTTATTTGATAAAAGTTTTTCAATTTTCATTTTTACTTTCAAAAAATAAACTAAATAAATATATGAAATCAACAGATGTCGCTTTCGTTCATTGTTCGAAACTCCTCAATTCGATGTAATCGATAATAACGTTTTTTTTTCTTGAAGAATCGTAGAAGATACGATTAACAATGACGAAAAAGAAATGTTTTATTGATTTGAAAGGAAAAAAAAGCAATTACAAATAGCGTCTGTTCTTTGATGTTGAGTTTTTTTGTATTGAAAGGAGACAAAAGAAACGAAAATTATGATAAGTTAGAACGCGAGTGTATAATATCACGAGAAGTATTTGTTTGGATTTTGATTAATTTACATCGGTGGACGATTTTGTCTAAAAGAAAAACGAAAGAAAGATATGATCGAAGACAAATGATGAAAAAACGGAGCATCGAGCTGAGCTGAGCGAGAGCAAATGAAAACTAACGACAAATTCTTTTTAATTATAACCAGCTGATGTTCTTTGATTCATCTGCATTGAACGCATTTGATATGCTAATGGATCATCACTGAACAAAATCTCAAATTATTTACTCGAATTTTTCGTTTCTCATCAAACTTTTTATGAAGAAAAACCAATTCGAAACTTACGTTTTCCATGTTTTATGAAGAACAAGGAATACAACAAAGGTGATCATGCAAATAATGCCAACAGTAATATAGGCCCAACCGAGAAACGGATTTTTCCCACCCATCCATGATGTCGTACTAATGATAAATTGTTTTCGTCCAGAAAAACTTGTAACCGGATAATCTTTTTATAGGAGAAAATCTTTTAAATTCACATCGAAATATTCTTAAAAGAGATTTACTATAAGTTATTGTGAGAACATAAGTTCCTTTGGGTAAACCATTTTGAAACGTGGGTGATTCAGTTGAACTCAATTTTCGATATAATTTTCTAAATGTTGGCATTGCAGCAGTTCGCATCCAAACGATAAAATCTTCGTTTTGATAACCATTATTATCATCAGTCAGATTTGTATCTAAATGCCAAGCATCATGTTGCCAATTTGGTGGTTGCGGATTTGTCGCGAACCCTACATTCAAATCAAATCAAAATTCATTTTTTCAAATCTTCATTTTGTTTTACAATTTTGAGGATTCTCAGGATTTTTGAATTTCACTGCTTTGTCAGTTGACCAGGCAATTCCTGTTCTCAAGAGTGGTACACTGGTATTTCCATTCAAAGATAAGACCAATGTATCTAAAGAACAATTTGATTGAGAGAATTGTTTTGTCAGATAATTTACCATTAAATTTGGAATTTGCAATTGCACCACATGGTGTAATGTCTGTACCATTGACTGATTTTTGGAATGGCTGACAATCCGATGAAACAGCATCTTTCTTTCCTAATAATTGATTATCATCTCGAGATCGAACATATCGACGATGATTTTGATAATAATTTACCAAACCATAATAAAAATATACATCACCCTTAAACAAAATCAATATGAAAAATTTCTTTAAAAAAGTTCTTTTACTTCAAAATCTTTGTCTAAAGTAAAAGACTTTTGACATGTACAACTTGCACCTGTATAATTTGCTTGTGCTAAAACATCTGCACACGTTGTATTCGATACATTCAAACTTATACAATTCGTATCAGTATAATCCAAATCGAACTCCAAAACCTTTGACATAGAAAACAATAACAACAATTTCACGATGAATTTCCTTTTCAAATCATTTTTACTCGTTCGGATGTGACGACCAATACAATACCAATTGGAATGAATATCAAACCAATTGCTAAAAACACAGGTAATGCTGTATTTGCTGTAATAATTGGTTGCCATGCTGGGAGTCTCTGTTGTTTAAAAGCGGTATCTAAAACAATAAGAAATGATTCATAATCCGTTTTCTGTTTTGAATTAAAAACCAACCTGCTGGCTTCTTGCTCTTCTGATGTTCATTATCAGCCTCAGTTTCTGCTGGAGTGGACATTTGAAGAGAGTTGTTTTATCAAAAAGAAATAAATAAAAATGCCAAAATTACAATATTGATATATTTGTTTGCATAACTCAAATAACACGAAGAACGGAACAAGTAAAATTACTAATACGAAATGAGATATTAAGCAATGATTTTGTTTTCAAATGTAAAATCATTTTTTCGTTCTTGAAAACATTTGTTTTGTTTTGAAAAAGAAAAGAAAAACAATTTTATATGAAAATTCATTCGAAGATAGATGTCGCACATAGTCAATCGCTGTCATTCTGAAGAAATAAACTTCCATGAAATGTCAAACAAGACTTACTTGACACAAATAATTTAAAATAAGTTTGTTGCTATCAACTTCAAAGCTGTTTTTCAACAAATGCTCGTGTTAATCAATTTCTTCTTGACAACTCATTTCTTGTGCCTACATTTTCCTTGAATAATTCATCTCAAAGAAAAGAAAATTCTCTGAAAACAATTTTTTTTAGTTTGCTTATTTTCTGAAAAGGAAAGTCATTGTTTATTTCGACATTAGAATAAACGTGTGAATCTCATAGAGGCTATGACTGTAAACGAAAAATCATCGAAGCATATCATGACGTTGTTTCGCAACAAAAGTTCGCATTCGATCAAACAATTTCATGTCATTTCGTTTACATTTGAAACGATTATCATTCTCAATACTTTATTCTCGAAAAAGTCGATTACGACGATTGATATTTGTCTTTGGAATTCTTAGTTGTGTTTGTATTTTCTATTCAATTCGAAACAAAGGAAATTGTTTACGTGAGTTTTTCTTCTTCTTTTCAATGTGTTCTTTCAAATTGATAAATTCAATTAGTTTAGTTGAATATTATCGTTCGCGATTATTCTGTTTTGTCTTAACAAATCAAGAGAATCTAGAAACACGTGCACGAGCCACATATGAAACATGGGGTCATCGATGTGGACGATTTGTTTTAATTACTCGATTGAATTCTTCACGTTCGTATACAATATTTGATGATGAACAAATACATCTTGAAGAGAATCAATTGCCTATTCAATATATTCCAACATTACCCAATGAAACTTATTCACATTTAGCAGATAAAGTTCGACAATCACTTCTATTTTTCAATGAAATTTATCCAAATTATGATTGGTATCTCAAAGCTGATGATGATACTTATATCATCATAGAAAATCTTCTTCGATTTTTGATTAGTACAATCAAGTAAGACAAAAAACAAAGTTCATTGTCTTGTTTATGAAATACTTTCTAGACGATATCCAAAACCAATTTTATATGGATATCGTTTTCGTGAAGATTATTATGTAAGTGGTGGAAGTGGATATGTGATCACACGTGATGGACTTCGATTATTCAGTTCATATATGAATGATGATGTCAAATATTCAATGTGTAATTCATCAATGGAAGATATGATGGTTGGATTATGTTTACAAAGAATATTTGATTTTGCACCATCAGATCAAACGAAACATTATCAATATGTTGGAGATACAATTGATCAACATGGAAGAGAAAGATTTCATCCATTAACGTTTCGTGTTCATTTTAAAGGACCTGCAAATAAAACCAAAAGAGAATGGATTCATTTTCGACCGTATCATCATAATTTATTTGTAAAATCATTTCTTCTTTTATTCGATTAATTTAATTTTTTTTTCTCATAGGGTTATGAAGCATTTAGTGAAACAACAATTAGTTTTCATTACACACCACCTGCTGATATGTATGAAATGGATTCATTTCTTTATGATATTCGACAATTTGATAAACAAGTTTGTCGTACAAGTGTTTAAGTTTAAAAAGTAATTTTATTATCACTTCTGTGTTATCTGTCTGAATAAACAAGAAAATATAAATGATAAAACTAAGAAAATCTTCATACGAATCTATTATAATCGATCAGATTCGAGCCAATAATTCCAGTCCGTGTACTTTATTATATTACTTGATAAATAGATTCTAAATGTAGTTTGATATGACCTAAAAGGTGATTTTGAAAATAGAAAAGACGTAGTCATAATCCGGAAATAATTCTTATAAAAGTCAAATCAATTTTGTTCTATTGTGACAACTTTATTTTCGGGTTATAAACATCTTTGTTCTATTTTTTTAAAAGTTCTTCCAGTTCTTGATCACTACTCGTTGTTTGAATGAAAGAATACTTCGAATATCAACTTATATGTACTAACTTGATCATGTAAAAATTCTTGGTTTTTGAGAAAATTGAAATAAAAAGTTCTATAAATAAAGAAGATACTTTGGATATTTATTTAAATAGGAAATTACACAGAAGAAAATATTTAATTTTCTGGGAAAAAAACCAGTCCGAGATCGAAGATTGTATCATGACACTTACACGATTTTCACCTTTCGATAATGTATTGCTGAAGAATTGAAATCTATGACACAAACGAATGTATTGAGAAATGTTAAATATCAATACCAACAAGAAGAAGAAGAAAAGAGAAGGTGCACAATCATTTAAATTGTTACAATAGATAAATGATTTATGTGACAAAATGAAAACATCCAGCTTTGTTTTGAATATTTTAAGTGGGACGAATGTTATTTGATCTGAACCACCAAAATATTTGTCTTCGAATTGATTGACGAAAGCGAGGCGATGCGAAAGCAAATATATAAAAACTTCCCTAAATGAAAATATCAATTGTAATCAAATGAATTTAAAAATCTTACAATAAAATACATATAAGTGATTAAATTAACAATTATTATGGCGAAATAATCTTTTGTTAGTTGATTTACATCTTTTTGTATATTCGCTGTAGTTAAAAGATATATACTATTTGCTCCATAAGGACTTATACTTATGAGAACAAGTAAAACTCCCATTAAAATCATTCGTGTCGCTTGCCGATCAGCTTGTTCTCGTGCAAGAATGATTGTTTGACGAAGATTTCGATAAACCAACCATCCGAATATGCTTTGAACAGTTATAGGAAGAAGACAAACAATAACAGAAACATATATTGTTGCATATGTATTAAAAATTGCATCAGTCGAAGAACATCGACCTGATATATTTGAATAAAATACTGCACCAGATATTCCATGGATTAACCAGAACAATGTCGTTATTACAACACATCGATATGCTATTTTGATGTGACTAAAACGACGAATACGATCATTTTGTGATGTTGCAAAAAACTGATCAATTGTTGCTAAACAAACACATGTGAATGATATAGGAGTTATGGAGGTAGTAAAATATGTTCGCATTTTACACCAAACTATTGATGTTCGAGATAAATCAAAATTATAATTCGATGTTATGACAAGTGGAATTAATTGAAAAAGCATTACATGTAAATTACACATTGAAGCAATCAAATAGTGAAATATAGATGGTGTTCGACGATATGTTGAAAGACGTGAAAATATATAAATATTTCCAATATTACCAAAGATTCCTATTGCAAGAAATACAGAACCTGTATATACGACGATTTCATTCCCAAGTATTGTTAATGACATTTCTTAATTGAAGTAATCCGGTGAATAAAGAAACAAATTATGAAATCTTTCTGAAGCAAAGAGTTTTTATAGATGTTATTAGTAATTTCAGATGAAAAGATTTATTCGAGTGACAGATTTTATTCTATTTATTATAAAATACTTGTTTCCCTCTCTACAAGAATTTGACTTCGTTTTAATGTCAATGTCATTTGATTATATAGATGAAGATAAAAATTGAATAGATCGTACTTTTCCGAAGAATATGAATAGCTGAATCAAATTCAAACAGTGATTTCAATAACTCGTTAAATGCTCCCAATATATTCAAGATTTGCATATACTATTTGATTGGTATGAATATATGATCATATTCAGCGTCATTGTTGATGATCTTTGTATTGGAGAACGATATGAATTTTCTGCGTATTTGATGAATCTTGTGGAAAAAGAAACGGAAATGTCAAAGACAAATGTTCGTTTTATAGTTTGTAAAGATACGGATGTGAAAGAGATAGTGAATTAATAAACTACAGGTGATTTGCATGAAGAATGGCAGAGGACTCAGAAGCAGCAGACAATTTCGTTTGTAGCATTAACCAGTTCAATGGTTTTATTAATAATTCCAGAAGATTATGGTGACGATGGGATAGATTTAACCATTGATGATATCGAACTGTGTGTTCATACCATTTTCTCATTTGAATTTCGTCCATCAAATGACTGATAATTATATCTTCCGAAACAAAAAAAGTATAAGTAGGAGAATAAAAGTGCAGTCCTTAATCTTTTCAACTGTATCTTCAATTATTGATTCACTTTCATGCAGATGCGTCTAGATTTGCATAATGTTTCTTTTTACATGTAAAGACTAAGTTATGGCAGCAAGAAAAATATGATCTACAAGAACAAGATATGTAGAACTATCAGAATCAATATTAAAAACTATGCTACAGATCATATTGATAATGGTATGAGTATCTTCAGCAAAAACAATAAGCAGTAACGATATCAGAAAATTTCCCTACTCTGATCTCAACAGCATCATCAGCCAGTGCCATTTTTAAGCAGTTCATTGATTCTAGCTTCTCTGGCATATTGATCTGTTCATTATTTAATTAAAAAAGAAGAACCTAAAATACGCTTCGTTCCTAAAACTTGCAACAGTTCATCATACGTATATTGATAGTCTCATTGTAATATTTCAAATGAAGTATGAAATGAAAAGAATCCTTGTCAAAATCATTCCAGTTGTATCAATGATAATATTGACTCTGATGGATATATTTGGACCTGTTCATCTGGTTTTACTCGCATCTGTTGTGAAGTAAATCTACGACGTTATGCATCAAATATTTGTTGTTGTACTTTGTATAACCGATACATCTCGTAAAATCTTATCCTTCTTTTTTCTTTTGATACAATAGGTGTACGTAATGAGACATTAGATCGTTCATTAATTTCCATACATCCAGATGCTTGGCAGGATACTCATTATGAACCAATGAAAAATTACTGTGAGATATATCAAACAATTTGTTCAAAGAATGGCATTTGTTGACCATTATTACGCAATTATAAATATGAATGTTTTGGCATGAGCTATTCGGACTACCATTGTGAAATCGTTGCGACAAAATCTTGGATCTTATAAGTGATTTGAAAATCAGCATTTTATACTGCAATTCTTGTCATCATAAGTTTTATTTTGATTATTATAATAATGTATATTTTGAAGTATGGTTTTGATATTGATTCCACAACAGATGGACTATAGTACGAAATCGACAAGAAAAACACAAACATCCTGCTGTTCAGCAATTTATTTATGCGAAAAACCCGCCAGGACCATTGGTGATAGCTTATACAACAGTGTAGCAGACAAAATTAATAAGACAATACTGCAATACAGAGATTCCTTTTTTTTGTGTAAAATTTTACTTTATATACTCATACAACGAATATCTTGTGAACGCTTTAGTGATCGTGAGATAGAGAATATATATATATTAATAAAATTCTAGGTAGATAATTGGACATTATAAAAGCTTTAAACAAATATGAGTTCATCAAATAATTAGTAAAAGTTCTATCGCTACATCAATCCTTCGGTTTTTGTCCATGAGCAAGAATAGCAACCATTGGTATATCGAAAGGTTCATTGGGTTGCTTGTTAACCATGTCTAGTAATACGTCGTATACTACCTTGTTATATTTATCTCGTTGTACATTTGTCATGTTGGTTTCTTTAAGAAATGGGGCGATCCAACGACCTTCTGTCAGTTTTTTTACGCAGTCATCATGATTCACGAATGACCAATGAGACTCAAAAGTATTTACTTGTACATTGACAAAACCAGCATCTTCAAGTACTTTTTGAACATAGGATACATCGGCCCAGTTACGNTTTGGATGCCATTTATTTCATTTGTGAAATATTTCGAATGTGTGGATATTTGTAAAATAAGACCCGATTGGTATGAAGTACGAGATTCGGCGAATTTCTATCCCGAACAGGGAATGATGCAATGTTATTATTTAACAATTAAATCTCTAACTGAACTTGATATCACACTTCATAGGAAAATAAGTAAAAATCTTCGAATTCAACGAAGTGAAGTTAGTCTTTGTGTTGCAATTGTTAATGTCGAAGAAAGAACTCACGGAAATTATCGAATTTATTCAATACCAATTCTTAGTCAACGTGGTCAACATAAATTTGTTTCAACAGATGGTTTTCTTCAACCGGGAACGTATCTCATTTTACCTTTTCTATTCAATCCAATTAATAAACAAATGGACAATACAGAATTTAATATTGGTTAGTTTGTCTTTGAGAAATTTTCTTGTTTTATTGAATTTTTTCTTTTAGCTGTACATAGTTCTTGTTCAATTGATCTTGAACGAATTCGAATTTCCTTGAGAATTCAACGAGAATTTTTGATAAAACTTTGTATATTTTATGGTGAAGAAGTTCAAACGCGAAATTCAATGGATGATGGAGTGAAAATTTATGAATTAAAGAAATTTTGGGATGGATTAATCTTACTTGTCGAAAATCGAAATCTCAATAAAAATGTGCATTTTCATTTTCGTTGTACTTTATCACAAAATGCATTTATATCACGAAAAGATTCAAATCATCAACTATTTGATGTTATTCCATCAATGCATCGACAAATTATTGTTACTATTGCAAGAAAAAATGCGTCACATTCATTTACTATTGGTCATGACTTTCAATATATACTTTCTTCACAAGATTTCATTAAAAATTCACATATCAATAAACAAAAACATTGGCCTAATATTGATGAATCAATTCTTAGTGAAGATATACATTTACCTCAAAGTATTTCTAATACTAAACACCAATAAATCTATTCAAATTCTAATATGTATTGATTTTCAAAAAATCGAACTTACTTTTGATTCTTTTAGCGAACTTTATTTTTTTTTCAAATTGTTTTCACTTATCAGATATTCAATTCAAATAAAGAATAATTGGGAAATCTCTACGCCTTTCATTGAGTTTTACAACTGTCGACTTTTGTTGTCATCTATCGGACTGAATTATAATTGATTCATTGTTACTCACTTATCAAGTGAAGATAGAGAAGACAAAAAAATAGAAGCACGACCATTATTATTGTCGATTTGTAAGTTGTAACTTTGCCTATTCATATTCTGTATTCTCTACGATGTGTCAAACAAAGAGGATATGTGCACAAGTATGTTGGTTTCTTTTTTTTCATAAGGAAATTATCGTGCTTTTAAGCGTTTTAATCGTCGGAGTATTTGAATCATACACATCTTTCTTTTGCTTGAGCTCTGTGTAATTCACGCGCTATTTAGAATATCCAAATATGAATCGTGGTGGTCGTTTTTCAGACCTTGATCCAGAGGTATAACACTCAAAAAAAACGTCATCATTGTTTCACTAACGATTTTTGCATGGTTTATTCTAAAAAATTAAATTTCGCTTGATTTAACTATTTTGAAATATGTTGCTCTTTATAAGTCTTTCTTTTTAGAATCAATCTGCAAATACAAACTCTATCGAAAGTGCTGTCAAAGCTGCCACTGAAAAATCTCAGATTTTTCTATCATTCACAATCAACCGATGCATAACGAAAACTTTTATTAGAACGAGAACATCGAACAAAATTATACAAGGAAGTACCCAGGTCAACAAATCCGATCGGATTCCTGGAAACGGAATTGCATTGGAATCCGACTGGAAAAACTCCGTCGGTTATTGCAAATTTCATGAGCGATCGTTTTAGCTATGTTCTATGATGACCCTTAGAAAATCGGGAAAATTCATGTTTCGGATGCGAGTACGGGATTGATTGACCTGAGTAAATGAATTGAAAGAATTAAATGGAAAATTATTGCGATCGGTAAGGTTAGATTTTATTTATCATTTACTTAACTGTTTGACTTTTAGAATAGGGAATTACGAGATTCTAATCTACAAAGTGTTATCCAATGCAAAGAAAAATCAACAAATGATCAAAAGGAAATCAATCAACTTTGATAGGAAGTAAAAAGATTAAAAGTATGTAGAAACAATTATCTCTCGATTCAAACTATCTCATCATCTTTTTAGAAGATACAAGAAAAAACTCGAAGAATTTGTGTTGTTATGTTAGTTGTCTTCTTCTTAATCTTCTCGCTCAAATCGACATGATGCTTTTTCAATTTTCTCTCTTTTTGCCACAATATTCGGATAATCTTCATTGTATTGTATTGTATATAATCATTTCATGCAAATAAATGGATTCATTTAAAAAGAATGTAGAAATAAATCCATCTTACCATTTCGATTGCACTATTAACATAAACTGAGAATTAAACACTCTCATCATGTGAAATACTTTAATATCATTACATTTCTTCGATGCTCATATGATGGAATGGTTCGTGATTCTTCCATTGCAATTCGTTTTCATCGATTTTTATCCTCTTCAAATTTCAATTGACCTAGCAAAGCTCTTTTTTCACTCGACGAAGTAGCCAAAACTGCATTTTTATTATGCAAATATGAACAAAGACGAATTGAATATACTTCACATTTATTCCATTGTTGTAATAATTCAATAGACGCGGTACGCCATCGATGATATCTGAGAAAATTCAAAGAAATTCGAAGTTCGAAATAATGTACAAATTGTCTTGTCTAATGTCAATGTGTTAAATCAACATTTTTCACATCGTTAGCTGAATCATTATTTTCTATTTGCCCACCTGTCCAATCAACACATTCAATATGAAAGATATCACCACGATTAACACAAATCACACTTGGAATATCTAGATGCCAACGATTATGAAGCGGAATGCTCTGATGAGTTGGTGATCGATTCAAATCAACACTAATCAATGGCTTTGCTGCATAAGATGTTCCAGTTGATAAGCGTCGGACTAAATTTAGCATTGCTTTAAATATCTTTTATTTATTCTTCAATGATTAATTATATATTCTCGTTTTCTTTACTTTTTGATGAAAATTATCGCCACATTAGATAAACGTTGATAGGCGGTATCATCGTAAAGTAGAAAAAAATGAAGAGTAGAATTTTTCTTACGTGATCTTTCGTTAAACAAGATTTCTTTTTTGAACGACGATGGATTTAATACCACAGAAGTGGCTCAATAAGAAAAGACGCAAGAATGATGAAAAAAATCTTTCTTTTTTATTTAACTGTCAAATAGAGTCCATTATTCGTTACACTCGAACAAAAGTTTAATATTGGTTCGTTTCGGCAATTTTGCATGTAGAGTTTAAAATAAAAAATGATTTTCACAAAAAATTCGTTGATCTAAGAATTTATCGAAACGGATACATCGTGATACGAGAAGATGAATAATATCGCAATAGACGCGTTTTATTGACATTTACAAAAGTCGTAATCATATATCATTGATTAGAAGTGAAAGAATCGTAAAATGGTCATTTTCGTATTGTTCTCCATCGAATATATGAAGAATCGCATTCGATATAATGACAAAAAAAGAACTTTTGTAAATAGAAATATTCTTGGAATTCCAGAAAGTCATGTTCTTCACAAAATAATTTATGAATTGATATCAAAGTCCCATAAATATTTACCAAACAGCTATAAAAAAAAACGAAAGTTGTGGTATAGATAAAACAAGAGAAGTACTTTATTTCATATCTAACAAATATAATTGTCCAAAGATTTTCAAGTATGTAGGTTTTCTTTTAGACAAAAAAACTCCACACAATTGATTTTGTAGTTTATTGAATCAAAATGGATTTGGAATTTTCCGTAACAGAGATCATTAGTGGTGGTATGGATCATGTTCATGAAATTCATTATCAATTCGAAGAATTTAGTTATGAAAATACCACAACTGGAATCACAAATAAGAAAGAAAGACGTAGTCGAGTTTATGATACAATAATCACTCGAAAACAATACGAATTTTTATCAGAAAATCTTCGAAATGTTTTATCATTCGAAAACTTCATTCGGATTCTACGTCCATTCATTATGGGTTATTATGAAGATAATCAATTAAGAGAAGCTTTTCAAATCTTAGATAAAGATCGATCTGGTACAATTACTATTCAAGAATTAGGCAATTTTCTCCCAATTATCAACGAGTTTGCTACGACTGAAGCTTTGAAAAATTACATAAAAAAACTTGACATTGACGCAGATGATACATTAACCTACGATCAATTTCGTTCATTGATTTTAAAAGGAATTGGACGAGATATCATTTGTAATCATATCTAAGAGATTTTTTTAAAAGAAAAAAAATAAATGCCCCGGGTGAGGATCGAACTCACGACCTTCAGATTATGAGACTGACGCTCTACCGACTGAGCCACCAAGGCGGCTGAACAATCGTAACGAATTTTTGAATAAAAACCTATAAAAGAAAATTGAATGTGTTATGTCGTCTTAGACATTAAATATTGTCTAAATGAAATCATATCTGTTTGTTATTAGCCTTCAAACGATGTGAATTTCTTCTTTTCAAGGTTGTTTTATTGGACAGACAATGAGAAAATATTTAGTCAAAGATTTTTTTGTCTCGAGATCCTCGAGATATAAATATCGAAATATTCTTCTCATCTAATCATAACTATTGAATATGTTCTCGACGATTTTCTTCTTCTTAATCTCAATTGGAATATCGAATTGTATCTGTAAGTTCAAAATGAAAACAAAAAAGTACCTTAAAAATTTATTTTCTTGAAATTTAGTTTGTAATGACGGATCCAATCCATGTCACTTAGATAATTCCAATTCACCAAATGCGTATTTTTTACCACGAAATGGTTATTTTTGTCTTGATGCGTTTAATGGTCAAGTCATTTGTACATGTCCTGATAATTCAACAACACGTGATCAACCGTGTCGTTCGTCTTCAATTCATTTCATTTTTCATCCATCTTAAAAGAATTTTTTTCCTTAGGAATTTGTAATCGAACACCAAATCCATGTGGAATTGGACCATCGGTTGTGACATGTACGGATATTAATAAATCTTATTCATGTTTATGTAATGATGGAAATGGAGGATTGGTGGCTTCAACATCACCTTGTGGTAAAGATTTGTTTTTCAAGGAAAACTTTTATCTAATAAAATTCGATTGTAGATGAACGAAATGTAGTACCGTCATTCGAAGACAATTGTGAGAATCAAGGTGTACGAGATCCAATAACCAATATATGTAATTGTCCAAATGGTTTTACCGGAGACAGATGTGAAACTCCAACAGGTAAACGTTTTTTCTTTAAATATTTAATAAAATTTGTTTTAATTGATTGAAGATGATGATTTATGCGATAAAATTGTATGTCAATCAAAAGGTATATGCGCTGTTCGGCCAATCAATGCTGGAGGCTCATTATTTCAACCTCAATGTTTATGTCGTTCCGGTTTTGATGGAGAATTTTGCGAACGAGAAAGTAAAATGATATAATAAAAGAAATCATTTGATGATTTATAATTTCATTTCTTTTAAAAGGCATTTTGGGAAGTTGTTCTTCAATCCATTGTTTGAATGGTGGAGCTTGTAAAGAGCGTCAAATTGGCAAATCTTTCTATAATTCATGTCAATGTCGAGCGGGATGGACTGGAAAACGATGTGAAAGACGTATGAATACCCTTGAATTTTGTTTTTCATTAAAAACAAAATATTTTCTTTTAGAATATTTTCGTTGCAAATCAGCAGGACATTTCACTGATGAATTAATGAAAGATCAAGGAAAATACTTTTGGTGTATTGCTTACAAAGATGGTAAGATTACAAAACTATTCGAATGAACTCATATGAATTGGATTGTATTTTAGAATTCTTGGCAAGACAATTATCATGTCCAATAGGTTTGAAATTTAATGCAGAAAAACAATTATGCTTATCTTAGAATTCGACATGATCAAATAGAAAACTTTGATTTATTTTATATTGGGCCTTTTTTCTTAATCAGAGAATCCTTTTATAATAAAAATGAATTCATTTATTTCACATGTTCTCAAGTGTAAAGAACTCGAATTACTGTCTGAAGGAGTTCAATGTCACGTGTAAGTTGGCAAATCCACGTATCGTGACACCTCATTGACCCAGACTTTGAGATTTAGCGATTGTCATCTTACAGAGTTTAGTCGAAAGTGTATGAAATCATATTTTGTTCGATAAAGAAATGATTTAAATGAAGTAAGATTATTAGTAACAAAGATGTCAGTGTACAAGATAATGAAAACTCTTCTATTTTCAGCCTTGTAACAATCCACTGTTATATTCCAACAGTTTGATATATATAGAACTGATAAAGACTAATTAAGTGTATGATATTAGGAGTAGGTTTTAGCAGGAGAACGATTTTTCTACGTACTATACTTTTTCATAGGAAACTTAATCAAAACTGCCAAATCTATAATGCCATCATGTAACGAAGAATTGAATATTTTTTTTCAATCCGTTGGTGGTAACTATGTATGACAAAATCAGAATACCCAAAGCTATTTTTTCATGGTCTATCCAATTCATGTGAATTTGTCTGAAAAAAGTTCTTGTTATGGTGGCTTTATGTAACCCGATGACACTTTTTATGTCTGTTCTTTATTTCTCATATTTGTATTTCGTGATTTTTTAACAAAAGTATGTTCAAATCATAAAATCAAGTTCATATTCCCGATCAGCTAAAACCAATGTCGAATTCATCGCATTATATTGAAGAATATAAAAATTAATTTTTTTTCGAAATTTCTGCATGATTTTTGGACAAAAATTTCAGATTGACCCTTTTCCCCTATAACTCTACGGAATCGTTGTAGTTTTTGGCGCTGATATCGAATATGAATTTAGTTTTGTAATTGCGATCTACTTTTTATGAAGAAAAGTGTGTAAAAATGGATGAAAACGTCATCGTGTTACATTAATAAAGCAGATCTCTGACACAAACTACACGTAATTTTGATTTCCTTCTTTTCTTTTCTTTTGTTTGGATATTCCAAACTGTTAACTATCCCGAATATCTATAGAATATTTCTCTCAATAAATGATTCATTTCACAGAAAAATGACCAGTTCATTCTCGATTTTTTTGTCTCAATTCTATTATGGAGTTTCGCGCTCTATCATTGCCGTAATTTTCTACCAACTAAGCCAAATGAACCGAAGTTTTCAGGGATAGTCAAGGGACACAGGGATGCATTGTTTGATAAAAGAATTGAAACAAAATATTTTATTTTTTGAGAAATATTAAAAAGATTGCGAACAAAACATAATCGCATTACGTTTGTAAAGATTGAAGTACATGAGAGAAAGACAATGTGTAGATTTATGAATTATTAATAAAGTCATATTTAGCTATTCTATTAATTTGAAAAGACAAAACAAATGTGCTCTTCAGACAATATGTGTTTATCATAATAATGACACTTCTCAACAATAAGTTTAGTTTATCTTCTTAATTCAGAAGAAATTGACAAAAGTTCATCAAATCTTTGATTTAATAATGAACAATTTAAATGTAATAAATCGATTAATCATAGAAATTTAATTTCGATACCGATCACATAATTTCCTTTGTTATTTTGACCTTAATAACGTAAATATAACTGAGAATATCTTTAATAAAAATATATTTTATTGTTGAATAACTCGAATTCAAAATATTATTATCAGTTAAATCGTTTCATTTAAAAAAGTCATTCTTCCATATCCTTTGTGACAGAAATACGTATAGTAAAATTTCAATTTCTAAATGGATGTTTTCTTTTCCAGGAAAGATATTTCAGTTTATTATTTCAAGAACATTTTTAATTTGAAAATTGTTCAGTTATTTCTTTCCGGAAAAAAAAACTTTGTTTTTGTCAAAATTCTTCATATATTGACGGGGAACTCTTTTGTTTTATTGAAAAGATGAATATAACATACGTTAAAATATTTGTATTAAAATAATATTTTATTCTCAAGTCACGAACATATCAAAGAAGAGCCGTGTGGGAAGGATATAACGAAAAACAAAATGAAAAATAATCATAGTTGAAGGATACTTTTTCAACAAAATACGTTTCTTTTCGATGATAAAAATGATTTTTATGTTTCAAATGAAACGTAGAAGAAGAGGAAGACAAATCAGCCGTGAGAATTATTTCATCTGTCACTTTTATTTTTCTTTTTTTTTTTCTTCAAAGCATCTTTTTAATATAATTATTCTAATGGAAAGTTCTTTTCTCTTCGCCAAACAGAGAAGGAAACGAGAAGTTTTTTAGATGAAAGCAGAGTGCTTTTTTTACGTATGTGAGAATACCTACGTGAGTTAGAATAAATGCAAATCTCATTTCACTTGTGACTTAGCGTCAATGATATAGAAAATGAGAAGATTTGAAAAGATTTGTTTCCGAAAAGCTGCAAAGAAGGTTAAAGGTATTTTTTCTCAGTGTAATTCAGTAATTCAATAAAAAAAAAAGTTGTCGAAGATCAGTTCGTCGAGAAAATGTTTGATATTTGCGAAATTGAAATTTCTCTGCAGAATAAAAAAAATCCTCGGAGAAAAGCAGAAATTTGTGTCGAAATAGATGTCTATTTAGTTTCTTTTTTTCTATTCTCAACGGAATTCTATTTGAAGATCTTTTTCTCTTCTCATTCTTTTTGATCCTTTCATATTTATTAACATGAATCATTTTCTCAAAACAATTCATTTACTTGTTTCTTTTGTTTTAGATTAAAACCATGTTATTCAATGAAACATCGAGTAAATCTACAGAAGAATTAAATTTTTTTGGAAGAATTTTAATGACAATTATCTTCGCTTGTATTTGTATTCTTGGTGTTATTGGTAAGAACAATCAAAAGACATATTTCTTTCTCGTTCAATTCGATTGTTTTCAGGAAATTTGATTGTTTTAATTTTATCAATTCAAAAACAAACTTATCGATTTGTTACAAATTGTTATATAATTAATTTAGCTATAACCGATCTTCTTTTTCTAATGATATCCGTACCGTTAACAACTTATTTGGGATTGAAAGAAACCTGGATTTTAGCGCCTTTTATTAGTTGTCGAGTCCACATTTATTTTGCACATGTAAGTTCATTTTCATATGAAAATCTCACTGATTTGTAAATATTCATTGAAAAATTCTTTTGTTTTTCAAGATTCTTTTACAAGCAACATGTTATACATTAGCAACAATGAGTATTGATCGATATTTATATGTGATCAGTTCACATCCACGTCCTAAATGGCGAACACCATTAAATGCTTTTATTATTTGTATTTTAATTTGGATTGGTAGAGACAAATTTGACTATTTTTCTCAGTTTTCAAATGAAATTTTATTGATTTTAGTTTCAATTGTATTGGCATTTCCTTATACATCATTATTATATTCATCTTCGATCTCATCTGAAAATGAAAAAAATTTTACACACGATTGTCCAATTTCATCATCACATTTATCAATTGTCTCGTGTTTTTTTCCATTTTCTGCTTATTATATTTTACCTTTATTGATTATCGCACTTTGTTATACTAAATTATGTATTTATATGAAACAGATGTCGAAAAGTTTAACAAAATATCGAGTAAATAACCAGAAAAAAAACAACCTTTTTTCATTGATTTTATTCTTATTTTTGTCTTTAGAATAGTTTAGTCAATTGTGGATCACATTTAATAAGAAAACGTCGTCGTGTGACACGGACATTATTTTCTTTGATATGTGCATTTGCAGTTTGTTGGTTTCCAATTCATTTACTCGAATTTCTCAATTGTGGACAAATGTTATCAACTTATTATGATCAACATTCACAATTACTCGATGTCATTCGAATTATTGCACATGCATTGTCATATTTTAATTCTTGTTTAAATCCTGTTCTCTATGCTTTATATAATCGAGAATCATTTACTTAGTCTAAACGATTTCTCTTTGTAAAAAGAATTTGTGTGTTTTAATCGAGTTATTTTTTATTAGTTTTATTAAGTTTTTAACGAGTTTTTCCTAAGGAAATTGTTAAGAACATTTTTAAATAATACAATAATCTAAATATAAATAAAGTAATTACATTATCATCTCATGTTATTATATACTAAGATCAGTTCTGTATATTCTCAACACGTTTACATTCGATCCTTTTTCATCATGAATTCACTTTAACGTAAGAAAATCTGGAATAGATTTGAATTTCCAAAGTCATAACTCCATTTTGACGACGATTTTATTATTTTGACGAAATAAAAACAATCTAATCAAATTATTAATATGTAATTTTACCATTTACTGATGCTATATGATAGGAGAGCGTTTTTTCTTCTTCATTCTTCGTCGACATACAGAACACAAAAGACAAAAATCAAATGAAAATATTCGCTTTCCAAATTTAAACTCGTACATGAAAAAAACCGCTACTTCCCTTGAGAAGAAACTTTGTAAATCGAACGACCGTAGGTGCGACTTTCATTGAAAGTGACATTTTCATCAAATATCACGAACGTATGATTTGAGAAATTTGACAACATTTTCCGTTCATATAAATAAATAATATTGGCCACATGTGAAAACATTTTAAATTCATTTTGTCGTGATCAATCATATCGGATAGTGACAAATATATGAAAATACAGTTCAGTGAGAGAAAATCTTCTGTTTTATGTCACGGAAAGAAAATATTTGATAATAAAATCTGTTTTTCATCTGTTAAGTGACAGTTAAATCATTGAACCATCTAAAAGCTAATGAATTAATAGTTACAGAAAGACGTGCACATTCTGTTTCGAAAGAATTAAAACGATAAAATTTCATTCGTTGAATATTTTCTTAATCTTCTTCTTTTTCGTGTGCATTAACAACAATTGAAATCGTAATATTCCCTCGATATCCCTTGATTTTCTATTCGAAAGAAAGAATAGATATATTAAGTAAAAGGACATTCGATTCACTATTCGATAATTTTATATCTTCTCCATAAACATGTATTGGCAAATTTCGAAAGATTTTCTTTCTTTATTTACTCGACCAAATTGTCAAGACAATCATTTCGATTCTATCGATGGATTTCGATCAATCGCAAGTCTTTTAATAACATCATTACATATCGTTGGAATCTTCAGTACATTACTACTTCCATATCCGAACATTGAATGGCAAACATTTTTACACAGTGTTGCATTCGCTTTGATAAATTTAATGAGTTTTTCTTTGGAAATCTTCTTTATGTTATCAGGTTTCTTATTAACCTATAAATTAATTTCGAAATGGAATCGAAAATGGTTAAATTACGAAGATTTTCTTGTGAAAGAATATCCTCTGCTGGTGATAAAACGAGCTTTTCGATTTCGGCCCAGTCGGCCTGCGCGGGGAGATGGTGCGCCACGTCGAGGCGGCGCAGTTCGGCGATGTCGTGATTGCGGGGCATATGAAAACTCCTGATTGTCTGGAAACGGAAAGAAACCGGATCCGGAACATCAGGGCGAGAAGCTGATCCGCGCGAGATAGCGGTCGTAACGGGTGACGCGCCGGTTCACAGCGCGCCTCGCAAGGCCTGACCGAGCAGGCGGAAATAGGTCTGGCTCTCTTCGTTGCCGTCGACCGCCCATTCGGGGTGCCACTGAACCGCGAGCAAGGGGGCGCCGTTGGGCCGCGCGCTGAACGCCTCGACCAGCCCGTCGGGCGCGCGCGCCTCGACCGACAGCCCGTCGGCCAGCCGTCCGATGCCCTGATAATGAACCGAATTCACATCGAGCGACGCGCCGCCATAGGCCGATGCCAGCATCCCGCCCTCGATCAGGTCGACATGGTGGCGATGATCGAACATCGCGTCGAACAAGGTGCCGTCGGGCGTATGGTGGCGCAGCAATTCGCCGTTCGTCGCGGTGTCGCGGCGCAACGTCCCGCCCAGCGCGACATTGATATCCTGAAACCCGCGGCAGATACCGAAAAGCGGCCGCTGCGCGGCAATCACCGCGTCGACGAGGTCGCGCATCATGCGGTCGCGGTCGGGATCGAACGGCCCTTCGCCCGCGTCATCCTCGCCATAACGCGCGGGTTCGACATTCGACGGCGACCCCGTGAGGAGCACACCGTCGAGCCGCCCGACGATCTCATCGGCGCGCATATAGTCGGGAAGCGAGGGTATGAGCAGCGCAGCGCAGTCCGCGTGGCGCATCGCCGCCTTCGCATAACGGTTCATCACCGCCTGCGCATATTCGGCGCCTACCTGCCGGTTGCAGGCGATGATGCCGAGGACGGGGCGGGCGGACACGAGCGGCGAAATCCTTGTGCGTTGCGAAGATTCCTTGCTGCCGATTTTCTCCGGCCGATGCCAGCGATATTTG